TACCTAACATATTTTGTGTTTAATATCATACGAGTATTAGGTTGACTCTTGTATTTGACACCATGTGCGCATGTGTCATCGTTTTAAATAATATCCAATTAAAATAATCTTTATTGAATTGGATCCCTAGTATAAAGGGCGTAATCCAGGGCGTACCCACTCATCTAGAACTGTGGTTTTGAGCACACAGAGTTAACGAGGTCATGCAAATATGTAAATTATTGTTGCAATAAATATATATTATTAATTCAAGAAAAATGATACGGTGATATAATCTATTCATATTTATTTTATTTCAAAAAAAAACTAGAAATCATCATATTATATGGTGTACAAATAAGGGATGCATTTTACTCTTGGGAAATCAAAAACTTTAACCAGATCACATAAAATTTGATTAAAACCAAAATAAACCCTTTGATAATGTCCATATTATCCATAAAACCTAAAAGCAAATTGTTTCGGAATAGAATGATCATATTTATGAATTTTTAAATTGTATATGGCGCTTATTCGTTCAACCACTATTCTGTCAAAACATTTTTATTTGTATTGTACGTGCATTTGTTTTAGAAAAATGGTAAACAATATTCGGTTCATACTGAAAATCGGGACTTAAACATTCTCTAGACAATACTCAATAAGGCATTGTGACATGGAGGTATTTCGATCATAATATTTTTACATGTTCAACATAAAAACAACGATTCAAAGATTCGTATATACCTATTACAATTTACAATTACTAAATTTATGTACGAACAACAATAGCTGCATAATGATATCCGAAGTGTATTTTTTAAACATGATTGCATTTATTGGTCAGATCTATTATAGTAAAATTGTGGCCACCGGCCAGTAGATTATAACGTATTCTATATTTATGAGTACAGAGTAACTTATACTATGGAATACACTGATATAACAATAATTTTGGTTGTATTACAAATGTATGTGTACGAGTTAAAAATAACGGAAAAATGTTTATGATAATTATTCAAGATACACAAAAGACATAAATGCTTTAAAATGTTTTAATAATTTTTCTATTATTATTAAACTATTTTATGAACATATTATATAATTATTATAACTGCAGAACGAAAAAAGTATTAATAAGGCCAGTTCAAATGATTTATTTTAAATCTTATCGTCGAATGACATATATGATTAATATTCCAATAAAACATAACGCGTCTAAATATTTTTATCACAAAAGTCTGGAAATTATATATATTTTTTTAAAAAAGAAACAATTTGTAATAATTAATTAGCTACAATAAGCTTGTATGCAAATATATAAATATATATATGTATATGTTGTTTTTTTTTACATGAGACGAGTGATAAAAGAAGCCACCCAATGGTGACACTTTATAAAGAAATTTGCTTAATTTTTACTGGTTTTTTAATTGTGGTTTAGATCGTAAGTACAATCTTCTCTTTAGTCTACGAGGTGGATATCCAGGAATGATGTCAGAGTGTAGTGGCGATATTAGGGGATTTGGGTAGTTGGTTGAACGTGAGCGGAAGCAATTGTATAGTATTTTTGCAGTTTAGTCTACAATATTAATTTTTAGGTCGGTATGAAGAGCATGATCAAATAATTATCAATGGTATTATAAGAAACTTTAAATATTATGTTTTTAATAAACTTTTGAAATGTATGTGTAGGATATAATAATATAATGACAATACTGCAATAACAATATTTTTTTGTAAACAAAAGTAAAAAAAAATATTGTTTGTCAGTTTATAACAACATATTTTATATTAATAATTTATTTAATTTTCTCTTCCGATTTAAATGCATTAATTAAAATAACCGAATTCATACGAACAATAAAATGCCCTCTACAAAATGTATGAAAATAAGTAATAACATACAACATTGTAATATTTCTTGCTGTTCGTACACTGTTTTTATTATTATTGTTATTATTATTATTTTTAATAATGATAATATACATGCGATGTTAATTAAAAATTATTTTTTTTAAAAAACTATCCAAATGAATATAAAGTAATAAACTAGACTCGTTTAATTTAATACAATAAGTATTAAGTTGCATAATTTTTAGCGTGTGGTTTTAATTGTTTTTCCCCACGTCATGCAGACTAAAATTAAAGCAGCCATTTCAAACTGCAATACCTCGAAAATAAACTAAAATAAAATTTTTTAAAAAATACTGTTCAGTAAACAGAAACATACAGATTAGTGGTGTTTTGCGATATTAAAACTAACAGCAGTAATAATCCTTTTTGTTCTAGCACTGTTTCTTCTACAGGAAACGTATATTTTGCAGGGGTAGTTGAATGAGCCTCAGCCCCACCACCCCGAATGTCTAGGAATTTTTTTTCAAATTATGTATTTTGTAAACAATTTTATGTTCTCAATGGTATTACAATATTTGTTTTCAATTATTATCGAATAAGGTAATGATAAAATACTATTCTCCTATTATACTTATTATAATATGTTTGCGAACTAATACCTATCAAATTTCATATCAATAATATACATCACTTGCTCAAAAAGTGTGAAATGGCCATAAAATATTCGATTTATTGTCAATTGGCAACATAAAATCAACGTAACTAACCTTCAACGGAATTGATACTCATTTAAATAGCTGTCTATAAAAAGAGTGCTATTGCCTAGTGTAAGATTCGCGAAAACATTTTATTTACCTAATGGAAATATATTATTCAACCTGTTCGTGGTAAATTGTAGAACTCTTGAGAATATTAGTCTTACCAATACAAATAATTGATCAGACATAGTATTATGTAAAGCTACATTACATAATGGGCAAAATAGGTCTTTGATGTATATTCGTAGAACTACCATACTCGCTTTGAGTACCTATGGTACATAATGCAGGGTAATAATAAAAGTATGGTTACCGATACGCGGAAATCGCAATTCAAATATCAATTATTGCCAAGAGAATGTATTCTACAAATTAATTGTTTAATATTATGAATTGATAAAAATAAGTCGTAATAACATTGGATATTAGAGTCCGAGCAAATTAACGTGAGGTTGTAGAATTTTATTTTTTATACATTTTTTTGTTGCCTGAAAACACTATTAGAGTAGAATAAAATGTTCAACTACTTACTTCGAGGGTAGTTACCGGTAGCAGATTAGATTCAGTATAGTTAGTATGGGGTAGGCACCTGCGTTTTAGTGGGATAGAATCAAAATGAAAATTGTACCATATTTTTAAAAAGTTTATTTTAGAACCACGCATATTTTTCATGATTGTTTAAAGTTTAAATCATGACATAATTTTGATATTCACACTTAAAATAAAAATTTGTCCTCAAACGATGTTAATTATTTTGTTATAATTGAAACACTGCTATTAATTGTACACACTTGATATATTCTACTTTAATACTTGAACTACTGTTTTCTATACACAACTCCATCTTCAAAATAAAAATAATTATTTTAAACTACTTATACAAGTCTACAGTCTACCAGTCCACGGTAAGTCGGTATTGGTTTATAATTTATTAAGTAATATTAAAACTACTATAAATATTGAATAAAATATGTTTTTGTAGAAAATTAGCTGAAACAACCTTTGTATTTCTGAAAGGTATATAAAATACTAATATAAATACAATAAAAATATGAACTATAAGCTGACGGTCTGCCTAGCGTTAGAATCCATTTTGGTCGTATCACTCGACACTCGTATCCAAATTATTTGTCACTTTGTTCAAATCTAACACATCCATTTACTATGTACGGTGACATACTCATTGACCAGGTACACTCACACCTGTTCAACTGTCCTTTGCAACAAATTTTCCGGTTATTTTATTGCCAACGTTGTTTACCATAACTACTAAGCCCTAAGTCGATATATTATAATGTAAACTGGGTCGTGCGCACGTTCGTCGTCAGGCAATCGTTTTGAATTTGATGCCTGTGCCCTGCAGCGTAAACAGACTTGGAGAGAATCAAATTTTTAATAAACTACAATATAGTTTTATAGTGCTACTACGGGTCGAATATCACAGGTAAGGTAATATTGCTGGAATTCCGGAAAAAAAGTATACGGTGACGACATTACTTTTTCTACTTATATATTGTGTAAAATCGTATTTAATATAAAATATGCACTGTCGTCTGTATGAAAATTTTGTGGAAGTCTTCGGCAACTGAAGAACTAGCAGTTTTTGGTTTCGTTGGAAATTCACAATAGCTTTTATGTATAAATACAATTTTTTTTTTTAAAAAGTCATTTTTAACACAGTTTCAAACATACATAATTATTTATAATAATTTTCGGTTTTCCCGAGAACGTGTACCTACGTACGATAATAAACCCCGAGAAATTGTGTTTCGTTGAAATCAAATTTACTTTAGAAAGTGAACCAAAATAATCTCGACGGAAATATCAACAAATCGTTCAACAAACCACCCAACTCCTTATTATCGGTTACCCGGAGTGCATGTTGCTATTAAAAAAAAATTTTCTACAAAAACTATACTGTTGTTATATATAGGTATACAATATTATTATATTACACCACCACCGATGTATTGTGGCATTACGGTCTCTGAATACATAATATCGAGTGTAAAATTATTTTACCATTACACGTTTCACTAATATTTAGTGTACCTACCTCTAACCTATGAGTATAGGTATATACAATATCATAGTCTTAATCGGTTTGCACAGATTAACGTCCGACGTTCATCCGTCCGTTTAAACGCCATTAGTTGAAATAACAATCATAAAATAGACGTTGAGCTGAAAAGAGCCGGCGATATCGAACTGCCACGGTGCGCCCATCATATTCACGGTCACGTGCGAGTTCGTGCACACCGTATAATGTCATATTATGCTAATGAAAAACGGGCGAAAGTACATAATATCGTAGGGTAATATGTTTTCGTTCCTTATCGGGTACCTGGGTAAAGGCAGTTGGTAGGAAGGCGTATATGAGATATAAATAGCGATAAGGTCGGTTACCTCGTGAAAGGCCAGTCCGCGTCCGTGGTTGTCGGCGCCGAAGTGCTCCTGCACGGGAGGCTCAGTCTCGGGACGATTTTCAAAGTGATCGGCCGTCTTCTCCGCGTGTAATCTAGAAAATCCAAAAGCACAGGGGATCAAAGGACCAGACGACGGAAAATTCGATACGCCTATCTCTATAATAATAATAATAATAATAATAATAATATAATTGACGGTCTACTGCGTTTTATACACGAGCGTACAGTTCTCAGTGCGCGGTGAAGGGGTGGAGGTGAGGGCGGGTAGTCGAGAGGCGGACGTCACCGAGTTTTCCCGAGGAGCGCAGGTGGGTGGGCGGGTTATGGCCTGCGACGGATAATAGTTTAGTATATTTTAGTAAATATTCACTATGACGGGTAGTTAAAAACATGCATACTGCAGTGAATACCTTTATCGGGTTTCGGGCGGGTTGGGCGTGTTAGGTTTGTGTGGGTGGGGGGGGGGGGTGGAGGGTGGAATATCAGGAGAGTTTCTGAAAAATTTCAAGTTTGGCATCACGTCACCGGACGCTTTTGATTTTATATAATATTTTGTTATTATTATTATATCGCCGTCGCAGCCCGACGGACTTGCACAATATAATACAATACAGTGAACGACCTTTATGCGCAGACACCCCGTCGCGGCCGTTAGTCTAGAAATGTCCACGCACCCGCGTATATATACGGATATCCCTCGGGAACACTTTTCAGGACCCGCAGTGTATTCCCTCTTAAACTACTTTACAGTCTCCCTCCAGAGCTATAATATAATCTTATCGGCAAACGGGACGATTGTTTTTATGTCACATTGTTTTTATGTTTTTATTCGGGTATTCTCTCCCCCCCCCCCAACCCTGTCGCATTCATGTAGGTACTAAAATCTGTGACGCAATTCTCTTCGTGATGGGATTTCGTCGGCTGACAGAGCAGCACAATATATTATACCCTTATGCCATACTCGTTTTGCTATGCCATCGACCGCAGTACATGTATATCAAAAAAAAATATTATTTTTCTGTGGCCGATTATATTTTCAAAACCTCGGCCGACTATTATATAGCTGGCTGTCAACGCGACAGACTTTTAAAAACAGAACGCTAGAGCTGCAGGAACGGAAAAAAAAAAAAGAAACGTTATGTAATAGTTTCCGCAGTGAATCGATTTCGGCGTTAATTATTCAATGGATTGCTATCACTCGTTTTGGATATTTCAACTCCTGTGCAGTACGCACGCGACACGCCTATACAACCTGTACAATAGTAAACTCTTTTGATTATAATCAATGAACATAAAAGTATGACAGATATACACACAGTACACATATTTTAGCAGGGGCGTATCCATAGTTTTACTTCAGGAGGTGGGGTGGGGGGGGGGGGATAAAGTAATAAACGCGTGGAATAAAATATTGAAGACAATTTAAGAAAAAAAATCAGTATAAATAATTATATTATATCATTTCATTCGTTTAATAGAAAATTGAATTGAATTTTGAAAACGTCTAATTTTACAAATTCTGATTTTTTAGTTATACTCCTTAAATGGTATCAAAAATATAAGAATTTGCCACATTTGAGAAAGTCTTGCGGCAATGTAGTATATATAACAGTTCTTGGCCAATTTGGATGCCCCATCGAAGGAAACATTTTTCTAGACTAAGTATCCGAAATATATATTTGGAGGGGGAGGCTATATCTCTATAATCTTAAAGCCCCATCTAGAAGCATCTATGCACTGTTAATGATATAATACAATTAAATTGAAATTGTGTTGCACCTAATAATGTTCAACTTGTAGTGTTAGTTTAAAACTTGATATATAAATTGTGCTAGCAAAATTAAACCCAGATATAACAAAAGGTTTGTATACTCGAGTGTGATGTTCAAATAATATAATTGGTTGACATTTGTATTGTATTATTTTTTTAAGTATACGTATTTATTATTACTAGTTAATTAGTTTTTATTTAAATTTAATTGCATAAAATTGAACGAAAAGTTTAAAAAAAACACTGGAAAATAATGGTGTGCATTAAAATAGTACATTTACTAAAAAAAGTATTATTTACTTTATAAATAAAGCATTAGCATAATAAAATACAAATTTGAGTTTCATTATTGAATTAAACACGAACAGTGAATGCGAAATAAGGAATTAGCTGATCTACTGTTTTTAACGTAAGAACGGAAGTAAGTTTTCAATATGTTTATAGTTCTTTTTCTTGTGCTTAAAATTAAACTTGTTAACTTTTTACTGGAAGAAAAAAATTACCCAGCACTTTATGTAGACCAATTTATAGTTCTCATTCTCTACTGTCATGAAATGTTATGTTTTTTATTTGGAATAGAAATGTAAAATGTAAATTATACATAAAAAAAAAGTTGAATTAATAGTCGAATGTCATCATAATAATATGTTGCACGTCACAGTTAAAATATACATTTCGATATCATTTTTTTTTTATATATTCGATAAAGGTACACGAGTATTATTATTATTAGTATTATTTATTAGTATTTATTATTATTATTATTGTTTACAAGTTGTCGAAAGAACGAAAACAAATTGATTAAAATAAAAATAAGACTGACGTGTAAAATGCATTATGAAAGGATTAATTATATAATTTTTTGAGCATCAAATATAATATTTTATCTTGTAAATCGTAAAGAGGTTTCACGGATCTCCGGGGAAATCGAGTAAGTACTTATCAGTATCGAGACGACGCGTGTGTATTTGAAAATATTGCTCGTTCGATTGACTCTTCAGTCTTCACGAGTTTCTATGTTCATGAGTACGAAAATCGTTTACGATTTTTAAATTTAAATTTAATATTTTCCATTTGTTGCATATTTTGTCCACAAAGACACAAAGTCTGGTGAATATTAATTATTAATATCATCGTCATTAATATTGTCGACGTGCACACCGTACCAATAGTAGGTATAGTTAATATTTGTACAGTGTTCAGACATAATATAATAGCTAGTACAATGGAAATATAATAATAACGTTTATAATGACGTCCCGGAGACGTATTTTGAGAATATTATTTTCCATTAGTACGAAGTCCGGATGAATAGATATGAACAATGAACATGTAAGGGTGCAGTTCCTACATCTACACTATATTCAACATCAACTTCCTGCAGAATTATCAATTCTGAGAGCATTGGCAATTTGACCTAGCGTCTTAATTATTGATATCACGACATGATAAGCATGACCTATTTACCAAAAAAAAATATAAATTTTACATACCTACTTATTTGTTTTATTGAAATTAGAAACATATATACGAAACGTTGTAGCAGCGACGCAGCATAATATATTCGTGTATTATGCTGTACGGATTTGTTATTAAATATATATATATATATATATTATTATTTAGGCATGTAAAAAGGTTCAACGTTATAATATCTTGTAAGGATCACAATCGAGTCTTGAAGTACCTATCAAATATGCTAGAGGGAGAAATTAAATACGTGTTTTGTTTGAATGCAGATATTAAAATATAATAAATTTATATTATTTCAACCGTTTCGGCTTGAAATTCGGTATATTTTCTTCAAGTTATTTATATAGGTAGGTACCTATAATTTATAAAAATAGTATCACTACTATAAATAGTAAAAATAAACCTTTATTCTAAATTCAAAATATTTTTGAAGGTGTCCTCGACATAGTTTGAATAACTTATTTTCTACCTAATCTAATCATAATTTGCATTTTTGTCACGAATACCAAATCAATTTTTTTAATTATTTATGTTATTTTAAAATTAAAGACATTTACATTCTTAACACTTGCAATTATTGCGCACCCTTTAAATGTACGCAAAAATAAATGAACATAATATGTTGGAAATTTAAATCACGAGGAAGAATTATAATTACTCCATATTATTTACTAACTGTATTTGGTATTCAATCAAACTTCAAAATATCAAACATAAAATGTACTTTAAATTTGTATATTATTTTCTTTTGTAAGCTGTATGAAATTTTATAATTAGTATAGCAATATAACCAATGGCTACCGTTCAAATAAACGAAACTTTATTTGATTTTTATGAGCCAAAACTATATTCATTGGTGATCAACCCTGTAGAAACCAATAGGGATTATTTATTGAACAAATAAAGTATAATCTTCGTCTCTCGAGTCTCATGAAATCTTTTGATATAACGAGTTAAAAACGAGTTTTACCTGTTTAGATTAGTTAAAAAACGGTCCAGTAGTTTTTAGCTTATTAATGACAAACAAACAAAGGTACAAGAATGTATATGGATTTATAATAGCCAATAGGTATTATACCGTTTTATAGTCTAGACTTGAGAAAAAACAAAATATTGTCAAAGCGTTAAGTACCTACAACTTGCATATAGCACTGAATGGTTTGTTAAAATTTAAATACTTGAATTGATACAATATATGCAATATAATCAGTATAAATATTATAAGTATTTTATACTGTACATATTTTTATTATTATACAAAATCAGGCCAAATATTTCATAAGCTTTGAGATTAATTTCGACATCGATGATATGGTATAGGGCGAAGAATGTAGCTAAACCGTGTAAAAGGGACATTGCACGTCACAAGGGTGAAAATGCGACCTTTTTTTTTATTATTTTGAGTAGGACAGAGAAATACCGATGGTTAAATACGGTGTGGCATCTTTGAAACCGTAAGTTATATTATGTAGAACTCGCAAAATTCACGAGTTGGACACGGGTGTTATCAATAAAAAAAAAATATATATCAATTCGATGCTATTGTGTTTGAAAACTTGCCTGTCAAAAAAGAAAACCAAAAATAAACTTAAAAATTAAAATACGACATTATTGACGAGCTATAAAAATGTAAATATCACTAATGGAGTTGAAAACTTATAGGTGTTGTACATGTATAAATTATTATAATATAAATTATTTATCGGTTTATAGTTAAAATGTCTTGATATAAATTATATTGTTTTCAAAATATGAATACTCAATGTGTCTTGTTTTATATTTAAATTTTAATGCATCAATTATTATAGAAAAAGAACATATTTTTTTTTGCCAATATTTAATAAATTGTGCAACAAAACAAAAACAATCAAGTTCGGTAATTTATTGTACAGGCAGTGACAGGTATAATATAAACAAATATAACTATAACTATTATAATTATTATGATACAATAAACAGTAGCTGGAGTTATTTTTTTAATTAACTAAACTTACTTATAATTATATGCACTTGACTTAACGAGTTAAACAAATTTGTTAAATTATCCAACACTGATTTTTTTTTTTAATACATGTGTTTCGTGTACATTATATTATTCACTAATTTTTACATGGTTTCTTTTTCTTCACATCATATTATATGTGTCACAGCGTGTACAATTTTTGGGTAAAGCAGTTAAATATAATTTTGGAAAAATGCTAATAATCATAATTTATACTATAATATGGTAATTTATAATATGAACATTATACAAAAAAAAAAGTTATACGTTTATTGATTTGGAAAAGAATGCATTTTATCAATAGTTTATAACTTAAATTTTCATATTTTTTAATAAAAATAAATAAATTCGAATTTGACGATAAATTAATAATCATCCATCTATGTAACATCATTTTACAAAACAATTTCAAATTTAAACTAATGGTAGGTTCCTAATAATGTAATGGCATGTCACCAAATACGATTATTACTACGTGTATGCTTACTAATTATATGTCTATCACCTAACTATAATCTACATACCATAACTGTGGAAAAATTTAAAAAATATAATGCAAATTATAAGTTTATTCCATATGGATTAGAACGAGAAGAATAATCAAGTCGATAACAATATGTAATAATAATAGGAGCACGTTTAATTGTTAGTGAGGATAAAGTTACATTTTACATTTAACCTTTTGATAATAAAATATGTATCATAATATTTTCGCTATATCAAATTCGTGTATTTATTGTTTTTCATTACAGCGGGCTCGGGCGTATCTGGATAGCAAGTACAGAGGGGTGAATTTACAAAATGGTTCGAGATTAGTGCAAATTAATTTTAAATGTTTGTGAGTGAAACTTTGAACAAAAATACAATTTTGCAGCGGCTCATACTTGCTGCGGCGAGATGGGCTGGCCTAATATAAACATATTCCATGGATAGGATATTTGTTCAAGTGTGATCAAAGAACAACCTGTCTAGGCACTACTACATTAGTTACTTAAGTGGTTACTTCCAATTATTAAGGTTGTGGTGTTCTTCCCACTGATTATATATTAAAATAATAATAATATATAATAGAAAATGATTTTGAACCGACAGATATTATTAAGGCTGATGCAATAATAGTAAAAAAATAATAATATTGAGATTTTGAAATTCGGCAGATAACGGATTTTTAACATCAACCATCGTGGTAGCCATCAAGTCCGCCACTGGTGGACAGTGGCGGTTGACAATTGATGTACCTCTACGTAACCGCAAATGTGCCTGAGCACTAACCTGAGGTGGATCCCAACGAGTTTCTGGCCGTAAACGCGTACGGCGACAGGTAGTCGCACGTGACCGGCTTTTCAGGACAATTTCCGTCCGGCTGCTGTTGCTGTAGGAGCAGCAGCGTTTCGTCACCCGGCGACTTGCCGCACCCATCGTGTGGCTCGCTCTGCCCGAACGGTGGGTCGTCGTGGGTGACGCTGAAGCGAAATCCAGTGGCCAAACACTCCTGCGAACAAAAACGGCATCGGTGTCAGTCGGTATGCCGCAGCAGTTGTAATTCTAAACATTTGTATTTTAATCGGAAACTATATTATAGTGGTTAACATACAAAAGAGTCAGAAATGCTGTCAGATCGCAGTCCATCATTGCGACGGTGACCTCAACCATAGACAAGTTTATAATATAACTATGTATAACTACCAGACTATGTATATAAATACATCGAACAAAAAAAAAAACATGGAAATCACAAGGTTAGAATCCCTAGAATGGAATATACCTACAAAATGTATTTTAATCAATGGTGGTACCTATTAATATTATATATATATTTTTTTTATTATTAGGAATAAAAGCTCTGACAACTAGGGTTATGAGCCTTCACGTTTTTCACGGGCTTAAAATTTACTAAGAACTTCAATAATCTGTTAAACATAGGTATGTAATACACTAATCCAAAAGTACTGAATAAGATTTAAAAAATATATATTATTTGGTGCACATATTTACATTTTAAATGTTTATTTACAATAGGTTTACAGGTTGCCGTCATCACATTGATGGTAGGTTTGTTGTTCTTCTTGGTTGAAAATATGAGAATGGGTGTATGGAAAATATAAACAATAATAATAATAGTAAGAATAGTAATAATATGTTATATTTATTAGGTTCATAGGGTTTTTTTACATTTTGTCTGCTATCAAACAGTGTACATCTCGATACGTTGTCACTATTATAACGATTGAATAATACTCACTTAAGACGTATATTTAAAAACACGAAATACCAGTAATAATATTACTGTGCTTCGATAAATTGTAGAGTTTACTAATTTCGTACCATTGACGCCGCTTAGCGGATATTTAAAACAGAACGTGAAAGTTCGGCTCGTTGTTGGTTATCTATACACCAGAGCGGGTGCCAGTGTTCGAATTCGTTTGATATTTTCGAATTTCACGTGACTATACGACGTGAAAACACTTTCAAGCATTGACGCCGTTTAAATTTTTAATAAGGAGAGCAAACGTTTTTACCACCCGAATGAGTGACTTAAAAAAAACCCCACTCGCGAGCAAATATAAATAAATTATGTTCCCTTTCTTTCATAAAACACGCACACATACACATACATACCAACTTTTGTGCACTTACCCCCAATACCCATGCGTCTAAATATAAATTTATTCCAACCATTATTATTGTTATAACGAATTAAGTGCCAATTTATCATTGTGACAATCATTTCATAGTACTCAAAACAATATTATAAAAAGAGGCATGTTTTGGGAAAATATGACAATGGGTAAACGGAAACAACTGGGCCCCGGGCCATCGGGATGCTTTTAAAATCAGACAAGGGCAAATATGGTGCCTCTCTCCAAATGAACGTTGCTCTCGAGACATTGGAGATATAGTCAACAGTTTTCAGAAAACCGTTCAACGTAGCATAGCACCTTTAGACTATAGAGTGTAGATGACAAATGAATCACTAATAAACAGTACTGTTTGACTTCATTGTTCGCTATGATACACAATTCTTTAATAGTTAAATTTATGATGGATAAATACAACAATGAATGAGATGCTCTTAATTGTTCATACATCAGAAACAACAAGACTGTACACAATTGTTTGATAGTTTATGTAAAATAGAAATAGTTCGTTTTTATATTGAAAATAAATACAAATAATATTATTCAAAATCATTCATGAAGTATTTAATTACTTCAGTATGAGTCGTAGGAACCCATATATTTATACAAAAACTCACTTGTCACTAATTATTACAGTAGTAAGTAATCATACATACTCTAAACGTAAATTTTATAAAACAATGTTGGGTAAAAATGCAAGACTATTTTTATTTTGATTGTATACCAACTCTGAAATCATTGAACCGTTTATTTTTTATTACAGTTTTGTTGTAAATATTGGTCGGTTCTTTAATCACTACACTGTCTATCTATTTGATTATTGAATGTCTTCGACACGATTTTAATTTAACTTCACCTATATTATTTTCTATAATGCCTTATCCGAGTTTTGATTTCAATTAAGACCAACATTGTTACCTATATCCTCTGTTACACAAAAATGTAAATTTTTAAAAATAAACAATTTATGGACTTAGAAACAGTTAAATACATGTTTAGAATAATTATGTGCATATGTATAAATAAAACAAAAACACTTATAAAATAATAATTGTTCAATTCACACATAAACTGTTTTTTTCAAGAAACAGAGCTAACTTATTTGTAGGGAACTTGATATTTTGAGCATACTTTTTTATTTTTACATAAGCTCATACTTTAATATGATAAGCCAAAGTGATTAGGTAATTAAAAATAATTTTGTGTAGGTACTAATTAACAGTGTTCAATTTTCTCCATTTTTTTTTTTTTTTGCAGATAGAGTAAGTGAATCCTTGTTTTTATAAGTGTCACAATTATAAATAGCAAAGTGGATATTTTTCAGTTTAAAAGTTTGCAGTGCAGTTTAATGACTGCTTAGTTTCCTAGTTTTAGAATCCAAGTAGGTAATTTACTATGTTATTGTCATGTTTTTCGTATGGAGGAAATAATATGTTTTTATTTTTCCCACTCAGTTGATGTGAAACAAAATAGTCAGACTAAAAATGTGACTGTAATCAGAAGTCACTAAACAGTAAGTATACCTATAGGTATTAAACAAATTTTAATTTTAAATCCCACATAATAATATGTCACGACGACAAAATGCTCCAAGTATAAAAGTAATGTATAATAAGAATAACATATTATTAATATGTTGAAGTTTTACTCGACATTATAATAATTCATTATATCAAATAACTGCTTTCTACATTATTTATTAAAATGAATGTAATGTATAAACTAAAAGATTATAATTTCTTGTTATCTAGATCAAGTAAGTGTATTAGGTGAATTTCGAAGATTAGTGACTTGGTGTACATAATATAAATTCAATATTATTAAAAATAGTTTTCAAAAGCTATTTTTACCACACTAATTAATGTTACAATCTTTTCTTAATTTATTCCATTTTCTCAAAATGTACAGGTTCTCCGGATTGTTAATCACTGCATTTAAATAGTCTTCAAACTTTATGATTTGTAAAGTAATTTGACAAAATTGTTTCTGTATATTTTGTTTTAAAATATTTAATTCTGATTACCATTACTCAATACATCATGTATAATATTATGGCTATTGGCTACATTTTGACTAACCTTTGAACAATATAAATTATATAGTCATTATATTCGCATTATTAATCTGAACATCGTGGTATTTTTTATTGCAGATTAATCCAAGCTACATTTATTCATGCATTTAAATAAAGTTTTCAAAACTTTATTTATTGATATAATTTTGGATTTCTTGATGCTGGCAGTGGCTAAAGATATTATAAAAAGTTTAAAACATGTCAATACTCGTATTAAAAACAAATTAATAATCGAATCTTAAGAAAACCTTAATTCATATCTTATTGAAACTGCACTCAAATATAATATTTTGATTTAATTTGAGTAATGGTTGAGGATAGACTGATGACGTAATTTATATGTTTACACGGGCAGAGACTGTGAGGGATGTGAATGACAACAAGAAACATAGCTACACTGTAAATTGGCAATTATTTTACTTGCATTAATCAGAGACGTAATTAGATCTATGTAAACTAATCACATAATCAGATCTATGCGCAGTCATACAGTTTGCTGCAATAAAAAGAAAACAATGGTAAAAACAATAATTAATAGTGTATATTATTATGTATAATTAAGTGTTCATAATTCACGTTTTTTTATGCATGGGGGTTGATTTTATGGTTTTTTTACTTAAGGCACTATGACTTTGTAATTCATAAACGTGAAAAACATTCAATGATATAAAACCATACAAGTAATGAATTTTTATTTTTATAATTTTGTAATTCATGATATTAAAAAGGCAATCTAAAAATCATGAAAGTATATTATCCATTAAAAATTAAAATACCCGAACATATTATTAAATTTTCTTTTACTAAAATATTTTTTATTTTTCGGCGTACTTATGGGTTAGATTATGGGTTTTTAAATGTTTTTTTTTTGAATTATAAAAAATAACATAAAAAAAGTAATATATTATGTTAGTAGATACAGCACACCTATAAAATTCATAGTTTACACCATTAATTAACCTTTAAAAGTATTTTTACTATCGTTTCATGGTAATCAGTTTTCGTTGATAGCCTCTGAATTTGAAGTTTTATTCCCTCTGGAACATTATTATTGACAACTGGCCAGATCAATAATATTTTAGAATCATAATATTTATAATATCATTATTAATTTTTTATTCCAATTATTTTTGACTCTTCATTTTACGCTAATTAAATCTTAACTTTGATTTTCAATAAAAACATTGATTTTACCTACTTACTTAATAATTATTGTGCTACGTAGTACATTCGAGAAACAAATATATACTTATAGGAATTTATCATATCTATATCATGTTTTCATTAAAAAAGTGTTATAAAGCATGTTTGCAATAAATAAAAGAAATAATTACGAGTTGAACATTTTAAGAATTAATAAAAATATTTCTTATTCATTCTACAAAAGTTAGAAGAAAACAAATAATTAAAAACTCTGTGAATACCATCTTACATGGAATTATTTAACAATATATTAGGAACCAATCTTATTTAAATTATGCTACAGTTAAATGAAATATATTGATGCTGCTTGGTTTAACAGATAAAACAAGATTCTAACGAGTTTTACTACACTTCGACTATAGAATACAAAATATTAACACTTTATAGACGGTTTTTTTTTCTGTAACATATACAACTTGATTTAGTGTGTATAAATATATAAAATATTTAAACACTTATTATTAGTCTATAACTACATAGGTATCAAGGCCGTATCTGGGAGGGGGGGGGGGGGGTATTGGTTTTCCCCCCCCCCCCCCGAAATTAATTTCCAGTTAAAGCCCTGATAGGTATGCA